GAAACCCATTTGTAATGGCTCCTTAAGCAGATAAAATACAATAGCTAGCATTACATTGGTAATGTTTCAACTCATAATTTTATTTAGTACAAGAATATACGGCTACAGAAAAAATGCACATTGATTTAAATAATGAAAGGAAATAGGAAGAACAAAGAGAAGAGCAATGCAAGAGTCAGTTGTTTGAGATGGGTGGCCATAAAAATCAAATAAAGAAATAAAGAAATAAAGCTTGCTGTATACCTAGTTTTCTTAAGTATAATGTGAAATTCATAAACTTGAAAATTTCAGACAATGTATCGTTCCATTTTATTTCATAATAAAGAGGTATCATAAATAATGATTATTTCTTGCCTTTCCTTTCCTTTTTGGATTATACTTTAAAATATGTATCTTCTAAGTGAGCCTTTTTTATTGCAACGTTTTTACAAGTCTTGGTTCAAACCAGTCTTTATTGACATTTCAAGTCCTATTTCTAGTGGCACCAGCTTCACCTTGTAGAGTGCTTGAGTGGTGGGACTTTAGCAGACCATCCCCACCATCCATTAAACTCATCATGGTTTGTGTTCTGCATGGCTGATTTTGAGACCAATTATGCCAGAAGCTGGCTCTGAGGTGGGGGATGAAATACGTTTGTGATGAAAAATGTATCATGTTGGAAGCCCCTGGTTGAATCTTAATGTAGAACAAGCCCAGGAGAGTTCTGCCCATCCTTCTCATGAAGTTAATCTCCCTGATCCTGCTGGGAGTGTCTGGTGGCCGATGGAGACACAAAGTGGCTCTTTTTACTCTGGTTTCTTTGTCAGTGTATGTATTCAGGAAAATGTAAACTGCCTGTATTTGAGAGAAGGCTGCAATCCAGTCATTATCTGGGACCCAACAGTGATCAGTGTGCACATCAGTCAGATTTGTTTGCATGTGGTTTCACTCTAGGGCATTTTAGGGGAAGCAATCTCTGCTCTTGACAATGCAACTGAACTACATTTTCATCAGCATTGTTAGCAATATCAAGACTATACTGACATCCACAAATCCCCCAAAGCAACTCCACGGGAGTCAAATGAACCCAAAGAGACAGCGGTGCTTTTGGGATAGATAAAACAGTCATAAATAAGCTTGGCACTCTCGGGAGGACGGAGCTGGCGTCGCGGCGATACGGCAGGCGATCTTTTGGCTTCCCGGAGTGCGGCCCCCAAATTCCCCCCCCGCCGCGTCCCCAGGGCCCTAACCGTCCCCGCGAGG